TTCGTTTTCCATGTATAGCAAGGCTGCAAAAGTCGTGGCAGCCATTTTGTTTGGGGGTGAATCCTACTTAGTAACGCTACCGCGTTACTAATAGTACAGGGAATTTAACCCGATTTTTGAGCAACTTTAAAAATTCATTAAAAAATCCAAATTTGATCGAAATCAGCTCAAACTTTCTACACAACATAAGGACAAGTATATGTATTAGAAAATATTACAAAAACTGAGAATTCTCTACTTTTTAATTTTGGTGAAATGTGGCTAACGTCCCTGTACTATAGTACAGGGACTTAAACCCAATTTTTTTTACCAACTTTAAAAATTCATAAAAAATCCAAATTTGATCAGAATCAGCTCAAACTTTCTACACAACAAAAGAACATGTACATGCATCAGAAAAGAACATAAGAACAAGTATATGTATCACTAAATTCCATATACACAATTAAAATCAGACATTAACTAAAACACTCCTCTCTCTCTGTCTCACCTGAGCAATGGCCCACTTCACCAAAGGCCCACAGCCTTACTAGCGTGATATAAAGTTCTCCTTCATTATAATCTGTCTGATACTCTTCCAGTCAGTGTAAGGTTCTCCGATTAGCATGCAGATGCTTTCCAGTGCCATCTTGATGAACTGATGGGGTTGTTTAGAGCCCTCACTTCAACCAGGTGGGATTTCTTAATTCCCTTCACAGCTGTAAAAAGAAATAGCAATAATAATAATAATAATAATAATAATAATAATAATAATAATAATAATAGATACATTTATGACCGTAAAACAATTTTATTGGGCTGTCATGCAAATTTTTGCTCCCTCAGTTAAAAACGAATTGGCTCATCATCGTAATTATGAAGACTGTCATGATGTGTTCATCATTGGAAACAAGTCACACCAACAACCACACCCACTAATTACCTTGCTGAGCCTCTTTGGCTGCTGGTTCCACTTTGGACAAATCGTTGAGTACAATGTCCTTATTTTGAGCAATATCATGAGTTTATCATGTTATACAGAGGTGTCCTTTACATGTGTATGTGAAGGTTAATTTATACAGTAAGGAATGTAATTAGTACACACTACATGTAGGTCCTGTCCATTAAATGGAAGTGTACATCAGCAGTATATTTATTATGAACCTAGGAAAAGAAAGAAAATCACTAGATAAAACCATTCTTTGTTTTTCCTCTCTCTCTCTTTCTCCCCCTCTCTCTCTCGCTTCCTCCCTCCCTCTCCATTATTACTTTTATTTCAAACACTGATAGTCCATTGATCCAAACCTCAAACCTAGACAGTGTAGTCTTTCCAGCTCCACTGACACCAAAAAGCAACAAGTGACTCTAAAAGAGGCGGAGTCAATAAGGGGTGTGGTTAATAATAGACCACACCTACCTGTTGCTGTTTGAAGATCCTGTCAATACAAAGGACATGATCAAGGACTTCATTAAAGAGAATAAGAGGAACGTCTAGCTCTTCCTCATAAAAAATCTTGTCAAAACCTTCCTCCCTAAAAACCTTTGAAACCTTTCTCGTTGAAAACCTTCCTCATAAAAACCTCTTCAATCCAAATATCAAAGATAGCGTTGATCTTGTTCAGTCTCTCCTCCCAAGCTGGAGCCTCATCTTCAAATACCTGTTAACAAGACATGGGATTGGGTAAAAGGAGAAATTAAAAGTGAACTTTTTCTGCAAAGCAGGGTTCTATCTAGAAATTTTGGTTTGGGGGGGAAGTACATGTAAACTTCCATGTAGAAGTAATACTGACTATATTACAGTAATACTATGCAATTGCTTACTCACTAAATTTGTAATTTATAGAGCAATTTTTTGTTTAAAAATATGATGCTAGTTTTATAGTCTAATTTATAATACAATTTTTCGTCTTTTAATTTTTCTATATTCATCAATAATGTGTTCAAGTGTTTGCTCTGACAACTGCTGTGGTCCTTCAATGCATATCCTCATTGTATGCTCCAAAGTTTCTTCTCCCATTCTGCTTCTCAATCTTGTTTTAATTAACTTCATGCTACTAAATGATCGCTCAACGGTAGCTGTTGTCACTGGTATTACCTCAAGTATTTCAGCTAATTTAGATAAATTAGGGAATCCAGCTCTGATATCATCTT